ATCATAAATGTATACTTTATTACACACACACACGCACATATATATATATATATATATATATATATATAAAATATTACATGATTTATATATTTAATAAATAAATATATCTATTTATTTAGATAATGGTAAAAATCTCAAATAAATAAAAGTATAAAAATAATAATTAATGTATTTTAAAAAATAAATATTTATTTTTTATAATTAAAACTAAAAAAATATTCATTACTATTTACATAAGTAAGAAATGAAAAAATAACATCTTAAACTATTGATTCATTTTACTTTTAAACAAACAAAAAATGAAACAAAGTTTTCACTGTAATTAAGAAGTTGTTTAGTTTTAGATTTTTTTTTTGTTTTGATTATGTTTCTTGTTTTTAGTGTTTTTTAAATAAATCATTAAAAATAGAATAAAGTAAAGTGTATAATTAAAAAAACACAAAATAAAAATAAAAAAATATTTTCAAAAGGCAAACAGGATAAAATAACACTGTTAGATATCTTTTATAAGAAGAGAAGAAGATATTGTTTCTAAGGTGCGCTTATGTAGTTATGTGTGATAGGTAAACTTCAAAACTAATATTAGACACTCAATATTACAAAGTCAAAAAGAAAAAAAGCGCTCAATATTAAGTGGTTCAAGTTCAACTTAAGTAACCTTAGATGACACTAGAACATATCTTTTTAGCATCAACCTTAACATGCACCAATGATAATGACACCATTGACATGCCACTCGATTCTATGACACAATATACGTTAATTCAGCTGTATTGTTTTCAACATCAAATATAAAAAATGATATTGTATATGATATAATTAATATATTTTTTATATTAATCATATTTATTTGTTATCTTTGTATCTATATGAATTTTCCTTAAAATTAAGGGCTATCTTATTTTGATATTCAAAATTCATTTTTCAATTAAACATAATGATTATTTAAATAAAATAAATTATATATATGTTAATAACTTATAGCTATAGTATCCATGACTAGTCTAATAGTAGAAAAAAAAAACAGTCATTTAATTTTATACCAACAGATACTAGAAGAGCCTTCTTTCTTATCATTAAGTACTATGCCCACCGTAGCTTCATGGAGGTGACACTTATCTCAACTTTATTCATTGTTCTTTATTCTTTTCAAATTTATTATTCGAATATTGGGATATCCAAAGCCAAGTTTGAAGGGGAAATTATACATGTTCAATGCATCATGCACCCCGGACCAAGGGACCAAATGCTGTGTCTATTTTGTTCCTATCTTCTGTGTGTAATGTTGGGTTTTATTAAGATTTATGTTATAGTTTCATCCAATTTTGAGGGCACAACTTATATGGATAAACATCACTATTATAATGGCTTTTTCACAAGAATAGGCAAACTTGGGACTTGCTGCTCAGTTGCATTATTGCTTATAATTTTTAGAATAAGTTTATGAAAGAAGCTATGATTCTCATATTATCTGCCATCATAACACAATTATTAATCTCTATTGGGAGCTTTGATTTTCTCCATTCAACGGCACAAAAAGAGGACAAAGGAGTTTGATGTTGAACATAATAAAGGGCGTGATCATTCTGGACAAAAAATGTACCAAGTACAACCACCCATAGCATGAATTGACCCTACTTATTTATATAATTTAATCTAATCTTTTTAATCACCTACCTCCTTGAATTTGCAAGATATGCTGAGTGATTTGAAGCTATGTTAGCAAGTAATGCTGCTCACAAAATCAAATGAGACAATAGTGATGATTTTGATTAATCATCAACCGTCTAATTAATCTCATGTTCTAGGTTTTGTCCTTTTTTGTGTTTAATAATTTTAGTGTCTGAGTATCAAAGACATTCGCTAGTGGGATAAGATATAGCTGCAGTCCATTTAATTGCATGAATCTCAACTATTGATATACAATTCGATTTAAATAAAATATTAATAGAAAAATATGATTAAGGAAGAATGAATATGAAGAAAGATGAATCTGCACCTGTGAGTAATATTTTCCTAACCACAATGGACACGTATCCCTGATAATGAAGTCATCGAAGGATAATTAATGTGCATATACTCTTTATCACATTTTCATAAAATTAAAAAGATATTACTTATGAAAAATAATTCATCCTTTAATAACATACTCTCTCTTTAACATATATTTATTAAAAATTATTAATGAGTTTGTTTTAAGTTCAATAATTTTCATTCATATTTTTATAAATTTCAATAAATAAATAAAAATATACTAAAAAAATGTCTCAAAAATCAAGCTAGTATATGCAACAAGGAGTAGAAGTGCATTGTTTCACATGCTCAATTTCGAACTGTGAACTGATTTGGTGCATCTTGAATTGCGATTACGATACTTTTGCATATTAATTTGTCAGAGCTCGTCGTGAGAATCATTAGGTGACACTGACACGACAAAATAGAGATGTTGAGAAATAAATAGAAAGAGCATAGCCAAAGAAAACCAAAGACAAAAATCTAAAACTAAAATTATAGATTGGGGTGTCACTTGAAAGAATATAAAGCTTGAGCTGCTTAATTACAAAGCAAAGAAAAAAGATACTAAAGAAACAAAAAGGGTTGGATCCACCCAACCAAACAATTATTGGTTTAAAGTTACCCCAAAAAATTTAATATTAGGAATATACTATCTAATATTTCAAAGTATATATAACACAAACTTAAATAGTGTATGAATTGAATTAATATAGCTCACGTGTTTATATTGACAAATTATATAACCTACCGCGTTTTTATAGGGAAAAGTATTGCATGCAATTAATATGAGTTGAATAAGTTTCAGCTATGACTATGACATCCTCAAGCAAATGACATTTCTTCCTGCTGACATTTAGGTGTGTTTAATGAAAGATAAACCAGAGAGAAAAATAATTAAAAAAAATATTATTTGAATAGAACAAAATTTAAATATATTAGAAATATTTTAACTCAAAAACTAAACTTTTTATTGTGATATATTTTCATTAATAAAAATATTTTAAATTTTATATAATATGAAATTTATTTAACATTAAAGTAATAATAATAAAAATATCCTCGTGGCTCTAGTCACTTTCTCTAATTTGAGATTTTTTTAACTCCATGCTAAAAAAAATCTTCTTACTTCTCTCCTTAACTAAATAACACATGTCACTCTCTTCGTGACTCTAGTTATAATAATTTTTTTTCCTTTTCAAACTGTGGGAGCTTATGGTTTTGACCCATGATTCATGAACATGTAAGTACTCATTTTTGTTGGCTGGATTCAAAACAAAATAATAACATCTAAGAGATGTTAAAAAAATTTAAAATAGTTAAATCTTTCAAAGTTTAAGTAATCACAATCTAATTCACTCCTGTATTGTTTATGTTCTCATTTTGTATTAAAAAATCTAAACAAAAATTATACTAAACTTTAATTTATTATGATAGTTATTTGTTATTTTTATTTTGCCCTTTTCTCTTTTGAAACATAGCTCTCTAAATATTCTAAAGGAATGACTTTTGTTCCAAATGGAGATTTGGACAATAAATAGAACTTTAACATAATGCTTGGTTTGAAGGGTTTAGAGGAAAGGAAAATCAAGCAAACAAAAATTTCAAATGATTATATTCAATTGGTTATCAGTAAAGTTTTATTTGAGAGTTTGAAAGAGAAAAGAGAAAAAGAAAAGAAAGAGAAAAGGAGATTAAAACTTTTTCTTGTTTGGATGTAGGGTAATGGAAGTTTAAGTGTATAAATAATATTATTATATTTTTTATTTTTTATTTATATTTTTTTATTTTTTATAATTTTTAAAAAAAATTCTCACTTGAAAAACTAACACTTAAAAAAAAAAGTTAGAATTCTAATTATAAAAAAGTATGAGGGTAAGAGAGAGAAAATTTTTGAAAAATCTTCAGGGAGTGACTCAAGAAACTAGTGTTATGAAAACTTTAGAAAATTTAGAAAACTCTCCAAACCCTTCCTTTCCTAATTAAGTAACTCACAAACAAAAGTTAACTATTTCCCTCTCTTTCTAAATGCAACTCTCAAACATAGTCTAAATTAATTTTATTTTTTTTCGTCTCTTTTTATAAATTAAATAAAGAGAAGATTGTTTTTTTCAAATGGTAGAAAAAATTATAGAGGGGCAGCATCTTGGTTCCCTCTCCATACACATCTTCACAACTAGGGTTATTATTGTTTTGGACCTCGTTGCTTTGTTCAAATGGTTGTATTTCGTTGCTTGGTTTTGTGGATAAATGTGATATTTGGGCTCAACAAAAATTTTGGGTTGGAAAAGCTCAGATTGCATGATTTTAGCTAAGGTTTAGCCTACTTCATTATTGGAGTTTATTTAACTAAGAGTATCAGTCCATAATTACTAAAAAAATTAACAAAAACTTATAAAAATATTAAAATATTAAAATATTATAAAAAAATTAATAATATATAGTTGTATTTCAAAAAATATATTTTAACTCATCTAATTAACTGATTATAACTTATCATTGATCCATAATTTGATCGGTCAAAGCAAAGTAGATTTGGTAGAGCATCAAATAGAATCTTAACTCGATCTACTACTATTGTAGAATCTTAACTTGCAAACTATTATAGTCTAGTTCAAGGGACTAACTGGCCAAGTCCATTTTACCCCCTTTAGGCTCAATTTATTAGTTTTTTTACATATAAAAGTACATTAACAATTTTATTTTTTTTCATTTTCAAATATCAACTCACAATAACTACTTTTTATTTTTCAATTAAAATATCTGTTTTACATCTTATTATTTTTGCATCCTCAAATTAGTCATCAATTCTTTTTAATTTAATTTTTTAACTTCTAAAAAAATCTGATACTCCGTCTCAAATGCCTTCAATTGCTAAAGAAATATTAAATAATTTGTTCTTTTCAATATAATAATTTTTCATTTGCATTAAATATTTTATATTTTTATTTCATTATGAAATGTCTTGTAGGCGCCTGTTAACATTGCCACAAAAAAACACCGAACTAATGTCAAATATATAAAAGCAAATATATGGCATTAAACAAAAAGTTCCTTAACTGCTAACAAAAGTTCCATAGAGTCAATAAAGTTTTTGAAGAAAGTTTCTAATAACTTAATCCACCATCTACAACTCATTTCATGAAATTAAAGTTGCTATGTGATGTCATCTTGAAGCTCTTAACTTATTCCACGGTTCATTGATAGATGGACCAATTGAAAAGATGTATGTTTACAGCCAGCCATATATGCTCCTTAGTCTCATCAAAATATTCTCAATTTGTTTTAGAAGCAATTGCCCTTTTGGCGAAAGATGGCAAACAGAAAGCTGCTGAATGAATCTGAAATAAAAAACACAGACATAATATAACCAAAGTTAGGATAAGAATTTACAGTTCAGTTAAGGAAAGGAGGAAACAAAAAATCAAGAACATGGTTGGGGAAACAAACCTCAGAGTTGTAAAATCTCAATGGTCTAGCTGACTTCTGACTATCATTCTCGTCTATAGGATTCACTGGATGCTTGAAATCCACAGAAGGCCCCTCAGTTGAGCAAAGCATAAAACCAATCATCCCACTGAAATTGAAAAAATCAAATATACATAAATATGGAAAATCATATATATTGTAATCATCCAAAAACCAAAAGCACGTTATTGTATAGTAGAGTCTTGTCATCATATCATGTATAACACCCCCTCCCGTACACTCATAGAGGATGTCAAGATAGCAAGATTTCAAGTTAATCATCCACAATTATGAATGTATCTATATTAGTCCTCTAAATATATTTATTCTAAGGGAGCCCCTCAAGATCAAAATGTCACCAAATTTGTCCTTAGGAAGAATAATGTGGAAACACAAAAAGAACGAATTTGGTGACAGACATGGATCTTTGACAGACTAATTTAGAATCCTAACTTTTGAGATTAAGAAAAAGAGAACTTCTGAACTGGTATAATGATGGAGGCATCCAAGTTTCAAATAACCATTTTCTGGAAGAGTAAATATAGGTATAACAAATAATCAATGTACAGGAGGTTATGTTTTGAAGACTGCAAATGGGAAAATAGAGAAAAAAATTTGGAAGAACATACCTTGGGTATGTAGGAACTGTGGTCCAAGCATAGTTAACAGAACCTTTGAATATCTGGCGACAATTAGCCACAATATCCTCTATTATATGCATGTGAAGCCATATACTTTCTGCTTGAGTACACACAACTCCTCCTGGACGGAGAGCTCTTGCAACCGACTCAAAAAAAGGCTTCTCAAAAAGCTCTTGAGCAGGACCTTAAAGATATCAAATTTAACCTCACTTAACAAATATTGTTATATTTACTGTACAAGACCAGTAAAAATTGAAAGGAATAACGGATATATCCTACCAATTGGATCAGATGAATCCACAATAACTGCATCATAAGTTCCTTCTGGAACTGCTTTCAAAAATGCAACTCCTAGATCATTGAGGGACAAGCCATCATGAGAAAAGTTAGTAAAGTGGCTAAGAAACACACAAATATGTAGAGTAGCAGATCATACCATCACCGATATGAAGTGTCACACGTGGATCATCAAAACCTACTGCTATATCAGGGAAAAACTGTTTGGACACCTGCAAAGAGTGAGGAGTTTAATGTTGATATTGGGAAAATACAGCTATACTAATACTAGATGTCATCAAGCTTAAAAAGGTCAATGTTTTGAAGGCTAAGTGAAAAAGCCCGGCAATAACCAATATCTTTAGATAGAAAATATTATTTAGATACATGAAAGAATAGTCTTAGTGCCATTACTCACGTCAACAACCATCTTGTCAATTTCACAAATGTCTATTTTCTCTATTGAAGAATGGCGTGAAACTTCACGTAGGACTCCACCATCTCCTCCACCAATAACCAAAACCTAAAAACAGAAGAGCAATTAACTCCATATACGGAGAAAGTTATGCAGGGATTTTCTTGATATTAATGAAACAACATTTCATTCTCATGAGTGGTTCAAGTAAGTCATGTGTCAGATGCCTTTTCAAAGTTCCATGAATGCCATTCTACATTCTTCTCATAAGAGATAAAACCAACCTAATACATATATATAGACAAACTTATAATATAAACCAGTGGTGCAGCAGAATTCAGCATGGTAATAGACAAGTCAACAATCTGATTAGTAATATCAAAAAAAGCATATTTTCATTAATAATTCTGTCACCTTCTCCTTAAGTAGAATGGTTAAAAATTATACACACACTACCTTACAATTATCCTGAAAATATCTTGGCAAGCTACAGAAAATATTTGGTAATAAAACAGGCAAACTAGACACATGCTAAATTCCCAGAGGGATTCAAAGTATCAAAATACCTTTTTGGGACTAGGAATAGAGCAAAGAGGAAGATGAGTGATCATCTCTTGGTAGGCACACTCATCCCTTTCTGTGAGCTGAATGACTCCATCCAGAACAAGAACCTTACCATATGTTGATGACTACAAAACAAAATCACAGAATGCATTGAATATATAAATAGAACCACGAAAGAGAGAAAAACATAATAAAATTTCAAATTTAACTGAAGCTAAATGTACCTGGAAGACCATGACATTCTGATAATCAGACTTTCCTTGAAACAAAATCTTTTCCACCTTCAAGGAGTGTGCCTCCCCTGTATATTACAGTCGAATTAAGTCACCATGAGCATTATTACAAAAAGTAGGTTCAAGCATTATGATTTTAAAACCAAAAAAAAAAAAGCTTGAAGATCTACTTCTGTTACTGAAAAATAGATCTTCGAGCCCCACTGTATATGACTGGAACACCACACCAAAGGTTATGGTCCTAGTAGTGCCATCCAAGATGATAGAACATAATAGAGCTGAAATAAAATGTTTTATTTTCTCCCATTGTATGCGACAGGATTTCTAATAAAAAAGCTTTTTAACCAATAAAATAAAACTTCAAAAAAATAGAGTTTAAAAAAAAAACTAGTTCTAACAAACTACTCGATAAATTTAGACATAAAAGTTTAAAAAATTATAAAACCATTAATCAATTTAAAGTTTTTATTTTTAATTTAAACTTTAAATCCACGGGGCAGGAACACCAATCATCAATTCTTAGGGCGCTAATAACTCTACAATAAAACAGAACAGAACCACAAAAAAAGGGGGGGCATGATTTAACAACAAACAAAAAACAGAATCAACGTTTGCAAGCAGAGAAACAAAGGGTGTGGATGATAGAAAGAGCGAGTTCAAAAATTGAAGGTGGAGAACGAATAAGGGTAAGGAAAAGAGAGGGTTTTTGGAAGAAAGAGAAGAAGGGTACAAACCGGGCCACATTGGGCTGATTTCAGAGAACCAACCAGGAATAACAGCAGATATACCAAGAGGTTGAGGCTCATTGGAAACAGTCTCAGAGACACCATTTTGTTGTTGCTCTTCTTCTTCCCTCTGTCTCTTGAGGGGCAAGTCTGTGAACTCAACCTTCTCCGCAGCCATCTTTGTTGTTTGCACTGAGTAGGGAACCCACGCACTCTTTCCCTTCTTCTACTCTTTATATATCTCTTTTCTAATACGTTTTAAACATTCAAATTTAAAATTTTTTTTTCTTAGGAGGTGATAACCTTAATCTTTTTGTCTGTTTCCATCTGGGAACACGTATGTTATTATCACACATTTTTTTTTTATCCTAACAAAGCTCTCGTTACTAAATTACTAATGATCATATTTAGTGAATGAGGAATTTTTTTAGGATATTAAATATATTTTTTCCATTTAATGATTATTAAGAAATTCTACTTAGTTTTTTTTTTTAACCTATCAAGTTATTATTTTTAACTAATTAATATTAATGTGTTACTTTTTCAAATATATGAGAAAATGCAAGTATCATGCACCTTCACATGTATATAAATAATAAATTAAGAATTTAGCTTCCAGAAATATATGTAAAAAAGTAAACATATATTTATTAGACAAAATTACTTTTTTCTTCGCTTAATTTTAAGATAAAATTTACTTTCATCTTTTAACTTTTTTTTAGTTCAATTTAATCCTCTAACTTTTAAAAAAGTTTCAAAAGTATCTTACTCTATTAAAAAAAAAGTTTTATTATTTTGTGTCACATGTACTATTAATCGTCTTTTTTCTCAAACTTCTAATTTAATTTTCGTCGGCTTTTCTTATTTATTCTTTATTTCATTTTTATTTTTTTATACTTAAAATTTCATCTTTTTGTTACTAACACTAAACACCTATCTCCAAATGCTAAACTATAAATAAATCAACTTCTAAATATATATTTTTTAATCTCTGGCAGTATGTCTACCATAGCAGGAACACGAAGCATCCTATGATTTACAACGAAAGTGGAAGAGTCATCGTGTCTTATCACTATGTGCTTGTTTTTTAGGCCATTATTAGTGGTAAAAAACACCAAAAATTGCACTATCTTTTCTGGAGTTGTAGTATTTAGGAGAATGACTCTCAAAAAATGCTTGCGTGAGTTACCAAAACATGTCAATAACTACCATTCGAGTTGAGTACGAAACATGCTTGTTTTACACAAATCAGTTTAAGGAGCAATGCATTGATGTTATTAATGGCAAGAAGTTGATTTTAGAGAGAATCTGAGAGTCAATGTGAAAATGCATAAGTTAATTTTAAATTTATCATATTGAAGGTGGGTGCTTAGTGTTGTTGATAGCAAAAAAATTGAGTTCTGATAATGAGAAGATAAAAGAAAGAAGAGGAAGATGTGTCGAAAATAACGGAGATCTTTACACAAATCAGTTTAAGGAGGATGCATTGATGTTATTGATGGCAAGAAGTTGATTTTAGAGGGAATCTGATAGCCAATGTGAAAATGCATAAGTTGATTTTAAATTTATCATATTGGAGGTGGATGCTTAGTGTTGTTGATAGCAAAAAAAATGGAGTTCTGATAATAAGAAGATAAAAGAAAGAAAAAAGAGGAAGAAGTGTAAAAAATAACAGAGATATGAGGATGAGGAAACGATGAACAATGATATACAGTACAAGTGACACAAAATAATAAATTTTTTAAGGGAGTTATAGTTTTTAACAAAGACCTATTTGAAACTTTTGTAAAAGTTAGAGGATTAAAAAAAAAAAATTAGAGGATGAAAATAAATTTTATCTTAAAATTAAGGAAAAAAAGAATAATTTTACTTTAATTATTAATTTAAATATTTATTATATATATTTAATTTTTAAATATAAATAAAGATACACTTTTTGTACTTTAAAATTTTTAAATATATAAATTAATAATTTTATAAATTTTAAAAAATAATTTATTTATTATTAGCACTAAATGTATATCATGTTTTATTTGCACATCACATGGTTATTTTATCTTAAAAATAATAAATTTTAATTTTAATTTAATTATATAGAAGATCATTTATTATTCTAATTTATAGTCAATCTTCCTCATGTTGTAAATAGTTTGAGATACATATTTCAATCATTTAATTTAAGTTTTAATCCATTCTTTTTTCTCAATTTATAAAATACATTTTTAACATTAATTATTTCTTATACTGTTGAACGACAATAACACTAAATTGAGAATAATCTAATTCTTAACTTAATACATAATTAATCTTATCTGATTCATGATAATGCTCAATTTAGTTATTTTATACTTAAGATAAAAAAAATTATTTAATCATATAATTGTGTATTTGTATTTAAATATTCATAATAAAAATAATATTATAATACAAAATCCAAACGCTTCTGCATACACCCGTCTTGAAGTTACACGTCACTAATTACGTTATCTGAATATCTTGAACCGAAATTGATGTATATGATAAATATAATAAATGAAAACTTGTTTTTATATAAAGATTGTATTATTTTATTTTATTTTTTTGCAATCAGGGGAGAAATAAGAAACCGAGAGTTGTGATACATGTTAAAAATATTTATTTATATTATAAATGTATTTGAGTTAGTTAAGATTTCTAACAAGTGATAATATATTTTTTTTAGTAATTAATATCATTTTAGTTTTCACATCAAAACAGGATTACACCAATATTAAGCAAAAAAATTTATAATAAATATTTAAAGCTTTATAAAAGTTAAATATTGGTGAATAAAAAATTTAATGGGTATTAATGCATCATAAAGTAGTGACTGATAATTCACGATAGCAGTGAAATTCTAAGTATATTAACGATGCAGTGAGGAGTGTGGGCTCGTTGGTTACAGTGCTTTCGGCTGCAGCACATGTCTGCCTGTCTACCCAAACAATGCCAAGATCTGCACACGACACACGTTACGTGTTATTTTGAAAAGTACATCTGAAAATGATAGGGCTTTCGATTAGGGTTTCTTTGCCATTACGATATCTTTACTTTCTTTTTGTTTTGCTGAGATACAATCTTTTCCTTTACAACGGTAATAATCAAATTAATATTCGTTTCTGTGCAGCGTCAACCGTAAAAGACTTTTACCTATAATGTAAACATTTTATATTTTAAACCTTCAAATTTTAGTTTTTTACTAAGTTATTATATTAACATGAAAATTTAAGAACATAATATAAAATTAATATAATTGTGTTAACAAATATCTGCACATTTGGCGCGAGAACGAAGAATCTTTGGAGTAAATCAAAATACTGTTTGAAAAGAGGCTGACATCCTCAATCAAAGGAAGAGGAAAGACAAATTTGGAAATGATAAATTGCTGAATTGGCTATCTCAAGAATTGGGACACCATTCTCTGACACACAGTGCGCGTTATATTATAATTACAGTTACAATAATATTTAAATTAATCTTTTAATGTCAGCCTTCGGCTGATGAAAAAACTTTAAGATTCACTTTACCTCTCTTTTTTGAGTTAAAAGATATATTAATTTTATTGTGTTTTCTAAATTATGTGCTCACTTAATTATTTGAACATTTTTATTTATTTTGTTCCCTCTTCTTTTTTTTCGTCTTTTCTTTTTGTTTATACTTGTTCATCATTTAAAATAAACAAACTATTAAGGTTATTTTAAATATAGAAAAAAAAGTAAAAGAATTGTAATAGTAATGTATTGGATAGGATACTATTCGGTCTCAAAGATGAAAGAAAGAATTTGAATACCAATTCGGTATTAGCAAGATGAGTACTATCTCGATCAGATTAAAGAATAATTAAATCAATTAGAAGTAAATAATTAAAACATTATTTACTTAATTAAAAGGCCAAAATCAAGGTTGATTTACAAAGTTTATTAATCCACAAAAATGTCTATAAAAGGAAGGTAAGAAGTACAGATAAATGGTTGACTTTTGAATATTAAATAGTATTTATTACATAAACTAGCACTTGACTTCATCATCGGAGTACCCTTTGCAGATACACTCCTCCTACGTCACATAGAGAAAGACTAGTAATGCAGAAGAGGACGTCACCTGATCCCACAGTAGGAGAGCATTCTAAAGATCAGTGTATCCTCAGAAGGAATATTTTGGCGCCCACTGTAAGGTTCGATTTGCCTCAACTTCAGAACAATCATGGTACTTACAAGAAGTCAGCAGGAATGACAGAATCAACAAGGAGGAGCCTCTCGTCAGCAGGAGGATGCTACACTCAACCAGCTAATCCCTGAGATTCTGGCTGAGAGAGGAGGAGACGAAAGCCTTTTTTCGGTAGTAAGACAACTTAGAGCTGAAATGATGGAGATACAAAGATTGAGAGAGAAAGATGCTCTCGAGTTGTTGGCTTTGCGGAAGGAGAATGCCAACTTGAGAGAAGAAATCAGAACTCACATACCATCTCAAACTACCCCCTTACCCAGGAGCAGGGAGAGTCCTCGGCACTACAGGAAAAGCCAAATATATATCAGCAGAACAAACTCATTTTTGAACGAGACGGTGTTTCGAGCCAAAGCCCTTTCATTCAACCTATTATGGAAGCTAAACTACCTGAGAACTGAAGAGGTTTAACACTAGAGAAGTATGATGGGACATCCGACCCTGAAGAATACTTGGATATCTTTACAACCCAAGTTGGCCTATATATAGAGAATGATGTTCTATTATGCAGAATATTTCCTACTTCACTTCGTGGGCCAGCCCTTAACTGATTTACCAAGCTACTATATTCGTCTATTGATTCGTTTGTAACGCTTACCAAACGATTTAGTCTACAATTCGCCGCAAGTCGTCCACATCCTCTGATTTCTTTAGCATTGGTTAACATTCGTCAGGAAAAAAGAGAAACACTTAGAGTATTTATGGAGCACTTTGGCAAAATAGCCCTCTCAATTCACAATTTGGAGCCGGCAGTTGCAATGCATCACCTCATAACAGCCTTGAGACTGGGACCTTTTGTCAACAACATATGTAAAAAGCCACTTATTGACCTGGATGAATTAAGAAGTCGGGCTACAAAGTATATGTAGATGAAAGAGTTGGCCGAATATTGAAGTCAAGTCCGGATGGAGCAAGGTTCCAACCCAAAAGAGGCCAACAAAAGGGAGCTAGGCAAGAAAACAAGGACTGGAGAGGAGAAGTTGAGCGACTACCAAGAGGACCCAAGTATACCACTTTAAATACTAACTGGTCTAGAGTACTCGAGCACGCACTGGCAACCGAGATATTGACTATCCCCAGGGGTGCAAATAACCTTCCTCAGGCAGACAGGTCTAAATCATGTTGATATCACAAAAATAGAGGACATACTACTAAGGAGTGTACGGCCTTAAAAGATCGCATTGAAGACTTGATTAAAGTTGGATACCTCAAAGGGTTCGTATAAACATATCACCTCGGTCACACTAAAAGGGATAGGGACTGTTACCCCGAACCATTAAGAAGATATAATAATAAAAAACTTGAACGATAGCGTAGCAGGTCAAGGGAGCCCCCTATCAAGCATTATGACGAATGCGAGAAGTACCCTCGCCAAGTTGTTAATACTATAGCAGGAGGATTTGCTGGAGGAAGATCTATTAACTCAGCCAGAAAAAGACATTTGAGACAAGTCCGCTCTGTCAATCACATTTCATTGGGAAGTAGAATATGAATTCCCTTCATTACATTTACTGATGAGGATTTCCAAGTAGTAGACCCGGTTCAGGATGATCCCATGGTCATAAGCGTCGACATTCTTAACTGTACGGTCCGAAAAGACTCTAGGGCTGACATCTTATACTACAATACTTTCAAGCAACTTGGCATATTAGAAGATGAATTGAAAGAGTATCATGAACTACTTGTCAGTTTCTCTAGGGAACGAGTGGAGACTCATGGCTGTATTGATCTATACACTTCATTCGGACCAGAACACGAAGGAAAGAGTATCAAGGTCACTTACCTAGTGGTACATGCAAATACTTCATATAATATACTACTCGATCGACCATCCCTTAATAAATTAAAGGCCATAGTACCCACTCCTCACTTGGCTATGAAATTTTCATCCGAGAAGGGCCGAATCATGATCGTTCACTCCGATCAAAAGATAGCCAGAGAATGTTACTTTGCAAGCCCGCGTTTAAAAATATTCCAAGAACGTAGATGATATATTAACATTGTATCCCCTCGGTCAGGAGCAGATTTGGATGTATAGCTTGATCCAATAATTAATGAGGGGCTCCGGGTTGAACCCAATGAAGACAAAAAGCTTTTTCAGCTAGGAAGAAAATCCGAACAGGTCATTTACCTTGAAATCGGTTTGTCGTTAGAGGAATAACGAGTCCTTCAAAAAAATGTTGACACAAAATGCCAATTTATTTGCATGGTCAGATTTGGACATGCTAGGAATAAACCCTGAATTCCCGTGTCACCATCTATCAGTTTACAAGGGCAAAACCAATAGTACAGAAAAAAAAAAGATAGGGGGAGAGCTAGCACAAGCTGTTCAGGAAGAAACGACCAAATTATTACAAGCTGGTTTTATCCGAGAGGTAAAATACTCTACCTGGTTTACCAATGTAGTGATGGTAAAAAAGGCTAATGAAAAGTGGAGAATGTGCACTGATTTTACTGATCTAAATAAAGCATGTCCTAAGGATGTCTATCCTCTTCCCAACATTGACAATCTGGTCGATGGCGCTCGGCCATAAGGTACTCACTTTCTTGAATGCATACTCAAGATATAACCGGATTCGGATGTATCCCTTAGATGAGAAGAAGATGACATTTATCACAGACTCAACAAATTTTTGCTAAAGAGTAATGCCTTTTGGTCTTAAAAATGCAGGGGCAACATATTAGAGATTGATGAATAAAATCTTTGAAAAACAAATAGGGAAGTGCATAGAAGTTTATGTTGATGATATGGTAGTTAAATCCATCTCCCTGGATAGACATGTTGACCATTTAAGTGAAGTGTTCAGTGAGGTGAGATGGCATGGAATGAGGTTTAACCCAAAAAAATATATATTTGGGGTAGTTGGCAGAAAATTCATGGGGTTCATGCTTTCGGAAAGAGGAATTCAAGCTAACCCAAATAAGTGTAGAGCTATTATTGAGATAACAAGTCCTTGTAATGTAAAGGAGGTGCAAAGACTAGCCAGCCGCATAGCTGCTCTTGTCAGGTTCTTACCTACGATCGATGGCAGAAAGGTCTCGGCCTTTTATTGATCTTCTTAAGAAATCACAAAAATTCACTTAGATCGATGAACGTGAAGAAGCCTTTATGCAATACAAAAACACACTCGTAGCACCACCAATTCTAACAAAATCAAGACCAGGGCAAGATATGATAGTCTATATAACTGTATCAGACAAGGCCATCAGTTCAGTCTTATTACATGAAACCTCCGAGCAGGAACCAATATATTTCATCAACTGAGCCCTTCAAGATGCCGAATCCCAATACCAGAGAATGGAGAAAGTTGTGTTGGCACTGGTCCATACAGCTTGGCGTTTAAGACATTACTTTCAAAGTCATCGGATAATAATACGAACCGGTTGCCCAGTTGCCAAAATTTTACGAAAACCAGAGTTAGCAAGACGATTAATGACGTAGGTGATTGAGTTATCTCAGTTTGATATCCACTTTGAGTAGAGCTGTCAAAACGGGCAGCCCAACCCGGCTCGATACGGGTAGCGGGCTCAAACGGGTCAGGCTTAATTAGCCTAAGATAAAAATAAGCTTATATTTTTATTGCCAAAGCCTTACCCTATGCGGGCTACGGGCTTCTGCGGGCTGGCCCGACAACTTAAATAATTTTTTTTCTTTTTCTTATTTTTGTAACATGCCATTTTTTTGACTGTTTTTATAACAACAAATCATTATTTTTACTACTATTTTTAGTGTTTGTAACATATATTTTAAGTTATTTTTGCAAGGACTTAATAGACCACTTATTTTTTATGTCTAATTTTTGTATTATACTATTTATTTATTTATTTTTTAAGTTGTAAAAGGCCACTGGTTTCTTTTTTTTATTATTATTTTTGTAGCTGTGCAAAAGTATATAATTTAGACTTGTAATCTTAGGGTTTTGAAAGTAAAATATATTTCCTTTCAAACTCCTTAAAACTCTGGGTTTAATCTCAATATATATATACGGGCTACCTGAACTCGCATGAGCCAACTCGGTTAAAGCCCTATCGGGTATCAGGCTTATTTGGATCGGGCCAAAATGGTCCAAGGTAATTTCAGGCCTTATTTTTTAGAGCTCAAATCTGCCCATTTAACGAGTTTTTTGAGCCCAATCCATCGGGCCAGCCTATTTTGTCGAATCTAACTTTGAGGCCCGATGACCTTTTAAAGCTCAGATACTTGCCAATTTCGTTAATGAATTTATCTCTCAAAAATAGACTGATACCAACATGTGAAAATTACACTTTGACAGATCATCAAATCTTTAAGGTCGTGGAGCAGGAGTTATATTAGAAAGGCCGAACACTGTGATACTTGAGTAGTCTATTCGATTTGGGTTCAAGGCATCTAATAATCAATTTGAATATGAGGCATTACTGGCTGAGCTCAGGCTCGCAAAAGAAATAGAGGTCAAGCGTATCACATGTTGGAGTGACTCAAAGGTAGTGGTAGAACAGGTCAACGGTACATATCAAGTTAAAGACCCAATCATGTTACAATATTATCATGAATTCAAACGAATAGAAAGTAAATTTGATGAATTATATGTTCGGTATATATTGAGATCCATGAATGAACAGGCTGATAGGCTCGCAAAATTGGCGAGTCAAAGAAAACCTGGACAACTTCAGAGTATAATTCATCAAGAAATCAATGTTCCCAGCATAAGCGGACAAGAGTGTATGGAAATTGAAGGCACATCTCGGAATTGGATGACAGAAATCATTCAATATCTTAAAACTAATAATGTGCCTAAGGATCCGGATCAAGCAAGACAATTAAGAAAAAAAGCAGTTAGGTTTACCCTTGTTGGTCAAGAACTGTTTAAAAGAGGAATCTCTACCGTTTTGCTGAAATGCCTTGATATGGAACAAGCTAATTATGTGATGGAGGAAGTTCATGAAGGCATTTGTGGTACTCATTTGGATGGACATATGATGGCAGCAAAAATTTTGAGGGCTGGATATTTTTAGCCGACTCTATCCAAAGATTGCGATCTTTTTGTTAAAAAATGTATTCCATGTCAGTAACACTGGTGTGTAAAAATTGAATTACTGGGCAAGTGTACCCGTTGTCAGAGTAATATTATGAAAATTTAAGTACCAAGTGTCGTATCCACAGGGACTGTTATTAAGAAATTCTTCCTTAATTGCGTAATTGTTAATAGATATGAAAAATAAATTTTGTTGATGAAATTGCTAAAAGTAAAAGAATAATAAATTAAAAAGGAATAAATATTCTTATGAAAATAAATTATAGAAAATTATGGCTAAAGGTGTTCAAGGGAAATAGGCAAGTATCTAGACTGTAAATCCCTCTAAGTGTTGAAATTCTTCTTCAACTACTTAGTTCCAAACCCTTATCGCTGCAGGAAATTCTAATTTAAATCAATACCTTTCTCAAGGATAATGATTCCTAACCCTCAGGTGATTAATCGGAATCTCTTCCTTAATTAATACTCCTAGGTTGCATTAAGTTCATTATGAATTCCATAATTAGGGTTAATCCTAATACAGAAAACTCATGTCTTTCTATCTCTAGAAATACATTCAAGTCTTTTTAATTGAGCAATGTTAATTTCATGCAGAAATTTTACTCAAATTCAAACAAGAAAACAAGATAGAAGCAAATTGATACTACTCAATTAAACCCAAGAGAAAAGAACATAAAATAGCATTAGAAGAATTCCAGAAAATTTAGTCAATTAGGATTCATTACATCTAGATACTCAAAGGAAAGTTAGAACCTAAACATCTTAAAATTAAATTTACAAAAGAGATGAATTAAAACGCTTGATCCTATTCACCTGCCGTCTCTGAGTCTTTCGTCTCCAAAAACTGCCTCCTCAGATTCAGGACCAGTTCTCCTTTTATAGGAATTGTCCTAGGGTTCTCGCAAAAGTTAAATTTCTGACGTGCGTAAAAGTACACAGCCATGTACTTTGGCTGTGTATTTCTCTGTTTTCTAATAGGTGTCCTTCAAATCTTTCCTGACAAGTACACGCTCATGTACACGGCCGTGTATCTGGTCGTGTACATCTCTGGTCTGTGATACTTGACCTTCACAATCTTTATATGAAGTGCATGCTTATATACATGGTCATGCACCTTGACCGTGTATATCTCTGGCCCAAATGATGCATTCCTTAACAATACCAGTGATGTACACACTCATATACACGGGCGTGTATCTGCCTGTGTATATCTCTGGGTTCTTCATTCTTCAATTCTCGACATCTTTGAGGTTTTCATATCCTTGATCCTTTTTCCTGAAACATAAATAAAATGAGATTAATTATAATATCTATCAATGAATAGCTTAAAAACTCTCAATTATCATAATATAGGATTAAGTCTTTAGAGCATTTATCAAACACGATTCATATATACATCAGCATGCCGACAACCTTCATCCAATTACTTCTCCTTAGCCCTTTGCCATTTGAGGAATGGACCTGTTTGGACCCTTTCCTTTGGCTAAAGAACAGTGCAAGTTCTTAATTGTTGCTATTGACTATTTTATCAAATGGATTGAAGCAGAACTGTTGGTTACCATCACAAAACATAATGTTCAGAAATTCACTTGAAAAAATATCATCACCCGTTTTGGCATTCCGCATGTCCTGATCACAGATAATGGTCTACAATTTACAGATCAGTGTTTCAATGAATTTTTGGAGGGGTTACATATTAAACACCAAGTTACATCTGTTGAACATCCTCAGACTAACGGACAGGTCAAGTCGGCAAATAAGGTTATCTTACATGAACTTAAAAGAAGATTGGGCTCAGTAAAGGGAGAATAGTCAGAAAAGTTACCAAAAATCTTGTCGGCCTATCGGTGTACGCCCCAGACAACCACAAAGGAAACACCTTTTCGACTACCTTATGGTATTGATGCTATGGTCTTGGTCGAAATTGAGGAACCATCCTTTCGAAGGCAACATTTTGATGAAAACATTAATGGTGAATCCCTAGCTGTTAACTTGGAATTGTTAGATGAGGTACGTGATCAAGTAGCAATCTTGGCCGAGGCAAGGAGAAGAACAATGGCAAGAAAGTTCAATTCAAAAATAAAATCAAGACAATTTCAGGTTGAAGACTTAGTATGGAGGGCTACTGGTGAGGCACGCTGAGACTGACGAGAAGGAAAGCTTGCCGCTAATTGGGAAGGACCCTTTTTGGATAACAACATGCCTAGACAATGGATCATACAAGATACACTCGAAGGGAAAGTCATACCAAGAACATGAAATGTATCACATCTTAAGCAATATTTTAGTTGAAGCTTGAGTGTAAATTCAGTGCACTCTTTTCCTCGCTCAGGTTTTGTCCTCTTATAAAAAAGTGAAAAGAAGTTTTTCTGAGAAGATTTTTAATGAGACACTCCGTTAATAAAATCATCTTTTTCAAAGAATTCATATATCATTAAAATTCCCTCCTGAGTACCCCAATTGATCAAGGATAAGTCATTTACATTAATTCCCTCCTAAGTACCCCACTCGGTTAAGGA